ATTATAAATAATCTAATAAGAAAAAAAAATTTATTCAAATAGATTAATACTCACTGTTTGATTTGTCGTTATAAATAGTCTGAAAATGAGACATAAAATTTGTTCAAATAAATTCATACTGCTTGATTTATTGTTATAGATAATCAAAGAATAAAATAGAATTTATTAAAATAAAATAATAGCTACTGTTTGATCTGTCGTTGTAATTAACATAAAATGAGATAAAAATAAAAGTTCTCGAAATCAACACTTACTGCACCACCTAGGACGACCATTACGATACTTGTAACGGACCGTACACGTCACAAAATATGGTCATACTGGTGATTTTATATCTAATTATCTATTATTGATTATACGGGTGATTTGCAAAAAAACTTACACAAAATTTTTTTTTATCGTAGAATGTTTTTTCCATGGCTCGAAGGAACTATAAGCGTCATTTTTTTAGTGTTGACTCTTCAGTAGTTATACTAGATAACCACCATAGATAACTCCGGGTTTTCTTATTTTTAATATAAATTTATATGATTATACTACTTTCTACTCTCTCAAAAATCTAGCATATATTAATATTATACTGTCGAAACAAAGCCATAAGATCTAGCTGTGTGATTGATTGTAAAACAAGTGTTCTGCTAAGAACTATTTATTACAATAATACCAGATAAAAATAAACCGTTGTTGGTCAAAATGTCCAAACGAACAACTGAAATATGTACCTGTAAAAGTAAAAAAAAGTTTATGAATGCGACCATATTGCAAATCAAGATGTCTTGTCTATTATACATTGAGATGCAGTTCTGATAGCCTTTATTAAGCTTATATGCTTGAAAGTTACCTTTTTTTTTTTGCTGTTAGGCGCAAGCGATTAAAAGACCGATATCACCGCAGAAAAGCTTTGTCATCAAGGGCGTTTCTAATGAGGAAAATGGCTGAAAATGTATCAGTCATGTCATTGAACAATTCGTTAACATTATTACACCATAAATACTCGAGTACTCATCTGATACCCTGGATATTAACTTCATAGGAATCTTCGGTCAGCCATAAACTATAATGTTGAGAAAATAAATTCAAAAAAAATTGGTGAACCCCATCATTTTTCAGGTGAAGAAGTTAAAAATGTTGAAATTTGTGTTGTAAATAATTTTGCCTTGTTCAAGAAAAAAGATTTTTCTTTTCTATTTCCTCTAAAGGTAACCAAAGGGAATATCAAATTGTACTGCTTTATAGTACTCTTCGTGGGCTATCAACTACAATATAAAACGATTTGAAGAGGACATCTATATAAGATAATAGCCGTATAAAAAGATGTGCAAGTTTTTTTGCAAACACCTGTATATGATCAGTGTTGTGTGTGGCAAATGGAGCAATTTTAGGCATTTTATTATGGTTTTAAGCGATTTTTCATAATTATAATATATGTTTATTTCAAGTATTATTCTGTGTAGATAATAATGCAATCGTTCGAGACAATACATAAAATGAAAACATGAAAAAAGACGTTACGCGTCGTATAATATCAAGTGTTCTCCAAATATAGAGGCAAAACTTTTTTATGAAATTATTCGATACAGTTTTTTTGTGAGCATAATTTTTATATATAATATTGCTCTAACTAGTTATATAAAATTTTTAAGATAAGCAACACATAAGTTATTATACAAAATCGATTATAAAGAAAAAAGTCGAGATGCATATCTTTATTAATATATCTAATAAAAATTAAATCTTAAATGTGATAGATTGAAAAAGTCATCTTTTTAGTCAAACATCCCTATATTATTTTTGATTGATATAATGATGATTTTACTTCTTGTGGCCTATGGAACATGCAAGACAGCATTTTTCAGCAAAGAATCCAGAATAAAAACAAAAAAAGAGATTGTCCACACTTTCCCGTCACAATAAATATAACAAGAGTCTAGCCAGCTCATTGTTAATAATTAGAAAGTATATTGCATAAAGATTATGTAAAATAGAAAATATAAACTAAATCAATAATTTGTAACAAAAAGTGACACATATATAACACTATCCAGCTATCTTACTATATACGAGAAAAATACACGACCAACATACGATCGTATACGAGTGTCGTTTACGATGGTCGTATTCAGTGGTCGTTTACGGCAATCGTATATGATCGTATAACATCGTATACGATGGTCGTATACAACAGTCGTATACGACCATCGTTATTCGTCGTATTTTTTTTGTATACGGTCGTGTACGATCGTAGGTTTTAAACCTGGGTTGTTTCAAATGCTTTTATGAAAATTATGGTAACTTATGAATTTTCTAGCTGATATCATTTTTTCATGAGAGCAGTTTTCGAAATTTGATTGTTTACGAAGGAAATTTTGTTTTCTGGAAATTTAAACACTGCTGGTTTTCATACCTTCTTCAATACGTGAATGAAACCATAAAATTTGTAGTGTTCTTTCTATTGATATTGAACATTAAAATTGGCTAAAACTGGCTTTTTTAAACCCTTAATCAAAGGAGAGCTACAACAATAAAAAGTATTCATTATGTAGAGTGAAATTCGTTCTACTGAATCATGTATCAGGAAGAATATTTCTACTTATGAGACAATGTATCTAACTGTCGGACGTTGTTCGATTTTATATGATGGCTACGAGTACGTCTTGATGAGATGCAGCTAAGCTTAAAGTGGTTTGAACCCATGGCTTACTCATAAAGAATGACGACTTTTCAATTCAAACGATTCCTAACAGAAAGGTATTTCGAGAAAAATCGAAAGCAACAATTTTCGATCTGAAATTCTGCCTATAGAGACGTTTGATAATCTTGAAAGTCTCAATGAAAACAAACACATCTTTCTCGAGATAATCAATATGTAAAAAGCAGCAATTTGCGATAGGAAGACATAATAATTGAGTCCAATTAGAAATCAATTGCCTCGAGAAAGGCATGTTTGTTTCCATGGGAACGTTCAGGTGGAAACTCTTTGTTTTGAATTTTTTGAAGATTCTTCATTCTCAGTAAAAAGAAAATTTATTGAAATGGTCATAACTCTTGGCGCAAATCCTTTAAATTTAGCTTGATCTCACCGAGGTCCAATAATTGATTAGATTCCCTCGTTAGAAAAGACTCGTAATAGTTTGCAAAACGCTAAGCGGGTGTGTGGGTATAGGCGTAGGTGTAAGTGAGGGTGATGTGGAACCAGAAGATAAGAACCTACACCCACATCCCAACACCCGCACACAATCCACACCGATATCCCGCTCATACCCACACGCGGCAGCATAGCCTACTATCACACCTATTCTCATCCACACTAACCCATCAGTTCTACGAAAAAAGTGACTTTTTTGTTAATGGTAGTACTTCATTCAGAGCTTTTTTTCCATACAAATAAGATAAGTAAATACTACTGTTAATTATTATTGCTGGTTTTATGAGAGTAAAGTCAACCGTTATTAAATAAAATAAAATGCATGCAGCGTTTCAGAGGTAATTTTCAGTGACCATCTAAGACAAGAACAATAAGAAGCAGTCGAAGCTTACTTTATGAGTTGTTCTGGATTTATATAAAAAACAAGCTCTCGAAAAGAGTAGCCGATGAGAATACGTCCAGAAAAGTTAGCTTCTTAGAAACATTAATGAGGAAGTTGAAAAATTCGACTCTGTTAAGTTGAAGAGCTAATTTTTGCCTTCATTTTGACACTAAGCCCAGCTTTCTAGCGTTTAAAATGGCGAAGAAATCTGGGATGCACAGAAACGCAAAAATCAAAAATCCTATTTTGGGAAAAACTAGGGTTTTTTAGAAAAAACCTTATTTTCTCCTATGGGAGGTTCAGAAAAGCCTCTGAAATATCCTTAAATCTCATCATAAAATCAATAAACTATAGTGCATTCGAAAGTAGACACTTAGCTCTATCTAACGAGCTATAAACCACAAAATCGACAAATTTGACCAAAATTGACATTTTGGGGAGGGAGGGGTGGAGGGATCCTTAACAAAAACTAGTTGATCAGTGTGAGATTAGCAAGAAGAAATCTTCAAAAAACCTACCATCTAAAATTCTAATATTCAAAGTCTTTCTGTACTCTGTTATTTTCTTTTGTAGGGAGCACAGAGTTATCAAACAAGTCATACAATAAGTGACAACAAGGTGAGAGACAAGGTTAAGTAAAGAAAAAGCATGTGCGCCGTGTGATGATTTTCAGATAGAAGAAGTGTTAATACTGATGGAATTATGCTTTATTGAGCTTCTTCATATCATCAATCGTTAACTGTGACGATTTATGAAAGAAGGTATGTTAGTGCAGATGGAGTTAAACTTTATTATAGTCCTTCGTATCATACAATCGCCTCATTTACGTATGAAGCATACGTTTGTATACATGAGTCGAATAAGAGATAATAAAATGAAAGATGAAGAGCCCAAGGAGAGAATAACGTAAGGATGAACAAGTGATGAGGCCAAGGAGAGAACAACGTAAGGATGAACAAGTGATAAGGCCAAGGAGATTACAATATAAGAGTGAACGAATGAATGGTGATATATATTGGGAAGCGCAGTACAACAGAAAGAGAACAAGGTTCAATCAATCTTAGATAAATGTAAGAGTAACACGATTATGAACACTGTATTATTGATCGTACAAGAACACACTGAGAAAGTAAAGATATCATATAAAATAATATGCCTATTGGCACACGCCGCACGACAGGTAGTTTATAATGATCATGAGGCACAAACTTATCTAAAAGTGTCTTGAGATAAAAAACAACGTTTCTTGAACGCAGCAGAGTTATGGCGTCTTCGTATCACTGTTTCTCGCTTATTAAGAAACTAACTCTACTTGTTTTGATTCTTGCCATTGTTATTCCTCTGTACTATGGTTCAACAAATCCAAAGTATCTTCTCTTGCGTCTTTTCCATTCTTTACTCTCAATCAAGCATTCTCTCGTACCTGATCGAGCTCGACCAATGCTCAGTGCGGAATATCGTGCTTTTGAGAATATGCTTAGTTTCAAATCATTACTTGAACCTGATTTGCTGGTAGATCCATTAGAAATGGCCAGAAAATTACGATTATCTTTTCTGCTCGGCACCATGGTTCCTCGACCATACCACTGTCAAGTCAACAAACAAGTGTACGAGTACGAAGGACACAAGGCAGAAGCGTATTGGATTAATCACCATGCTGGAAAAGAACAAAGAAATACAGATCAGATTGTCATCTACTTGCATGGTGGAGCCTATGTAAGGGGTGACATTAACGGTAAATCATTTGATACTTTCAGCTAGATGGTTCAATTTTAAAATTCTATAACAAAATTATTTTTAAATCAAACGTGACTATAATCACTGAGTAATATAGATAAGATTTAGGAGTTAACGTTTTGCTCGGAGTGACTGAAACTTACATGAAAGAGAATTTATCTTTTTATAGAAAGACAATAGACTGCCAAAAGCTTGCTACGAGAATTAGTCAAAAAGAAATCTTTTAATAGCTTCAAAACTTCAAGTGTTCTTTAAAGATTGAATTAGATGATGAACATCAAAATTTCGTACGTTTCGGTCATCGTATGCATTTTTTGTTCCTGTAGTAATTACCTTTAGTCTGATACTAGTTGTCCATTTGAATTTAAAACTCATACTGCGTACTCTTATGTATGCATAAAAATGGGCATGGAATAGTATGTATATTATAGACTCCTGATTTTGTTCGATTATAAACTGTCTTTGCGTTTTCTAGTTAGTGCATTAATAACAAAAAAAATTCCCTTTTACAGGTTTTAGTGGACTCGAGTGTCATTTGTCTCGTCTTTTCAATATGTCTTTGCTCCATTTGGAATATCGTCTCGTCCCGGAACATCCACTGCCAGCAGCTGTCGACGATACACTCGCACTTTATCGTGCTCTTCTTCATGATGGTATCTCTTCTTCTCGTCTCATAATTATGGGAGATTCAGCCGGTGGTGGTCTTACTTTATTGACAGTTCAAGCTCTTCTTGATCGTCATTTACCTATTCCTCGTGCTGTCATTACTATGTCTCCGTGGACTGATTTATCATTGTCCGGTGAGAGTTACAAACGTAATCGATTAACTGATGTAATGCTTCGCTTAGAATATATTAGCTGGAGCGTCGAACGAGCTTTGGGTCCGAATCATGCTCAACTAGTACGATATAGTTCTTTTCACAGTCCTCTTTTCGGCTCATTTCAAGGATTTCCTCCTATGTACATCACAGTGGGTACAGCAGAATTATTAGAAGACGACTCGAGACAAGTGGCAGACAAAGCACAAAATGCTGGTGTGGATGTAACATTGGAAGTCGGACTTTATATGATGCACGTGCATCCAATTTTCTTTTCGTTTTGTCCTGAAGCAAGAAATACACTTGATAACATTCGTCAATGGGTTGAAGCAAAATTTCAAGGAGAAATAAACACCTAACTATGATTCATTGTCTATCTCATTGCATCAATCATAATTCAATTCACATTGATGAATATGAATTCTTTCTTTTTCGAATAAATTGAGATAATTTAACATTTCTTTATAACCGCGTCAAAACAACAGAACATGCTTTTCATCGAAGATATACCTACGCTCCAGAGATTGAAAATTCTATCGATTTGTATTGATAGCAGTGAAAATCAGAGAAACACTGCGGCTAACGAACTAATGTAAGACCAGCAAATCAAAAGGATCAAGGGAATCTATTTTATTTTATTTTTTTGACATTGAAGAAATTTATTTTGCCGTATAATGCTTCGCAGAAGAACGAAAAGACTACATCTTTGTTTGGGATTTTCAGTATATACATACTACTTCTTTCAGCTCAAGCGAATGT